TAGGTTCGCAGTGTTCAAGTGGTGACGTCAGTCCTCACTCGACGCGCGCTCCTCGCTCAATACCTTGTGTTTTGCCTTGTGTTCTCTCTTTGATTGTAAAACGTTCCAACAATATAAAGAAAATTGCATTAAGAGAATTGAATCACCTCGGCCTGATAGGAAAATTATACAATCGAACAGAAATTGCAATCGCTCTTTTGTACTGAAATTTCAAAGGGGTAAATGGCCATATTAATTTTAGAAATTAGCCATGTGTTCTCTCTTTGATTGTAAGACTTCCAACATTATCACGAAAATTTCCCCCTACAAAAGGTTGATCGCGTTTCACAGTACGTGAAATGTTTCCGTTCGTGAGCTAGCAGACTGAAATCTGAGCTGGATGTGCTATATAAAAGAATCTGAGAGAGCTTTTGCACTTTGAAAAGATTATAGACTTTTTAATAAATACCATGTCGGAAGAGAGATTGTTGGACTTTGTATGTTTTCATTATAAAGAGTTTTGTTACGAGACTCCTTTGATTTTGAAGAATTAGTAATAGATTTACAGAATGTAACAACAAGACTCAATTTAATTTATAGAGTATGTGTTTAGCCTGTCTTCCGGGCAGATAATTCGATTGTAAATATTACTTATGTGACTTAAACAATCCAAATATAACAATTTTTCTAATGCCTAACATTGTTTGATCCTGTTACTTTGTGTACCCTTCCTGTTGCATAATCCCAGAGCCGCTACTGATTTGGTCGTGTAATCCTTTCGGAGCGAGGTAGCAGAATTTCTATCATCACCATTTTCTGTAAGTGTTACACCCATTTAGTCAATAACCAGACTAAGGAACTAGAAGGAACAGTAATGTAAAAGATACAATTTTCTATAGCAATAAACGCGTCCCCGTCATTTTGGTCGGTTGATCACAAAAAAAAGTGTATTATTTATAAACAGTAAGCAAATGCTATCCTTCGACCCAGGGTGCCCACCCCTGATGTCTCAACGCCGGTGCCCAGATCACAGGTAAGGCATACGCTTGGCGTCGTCCTAAATAAACGTAATGCGTTTCCCAGAGGGCTCTGCTTTGATTGCAAAAGACCTGGCTTCAATGATGGAGGAGCTTCAGTCACTCTATGTAGTATATTCTAGCTCGTTAGTTCGCATCACCGTCTAGATCATTAGCGACCATAATTGCACATAACGGTATGATAACTGTGAAAATGACATGATAATGATAGAGGGTGAAATGACGAACACAAATACAACTATGGCCGAGGCGGGGTTCGAGCCCGCGAACTTTTGGTCTGAAATCGCTCGGTACTACTACCTTAACGGTCTCGGCAATCCACCTATTTTATACAGTAGTAGAATTATGTTTATGTTTGTGGCGGTGCCACCGTCAAGTTGGCACCGGGACATTATCATGGATTGACTCAATTATTTGTTTGAACGAACAAAAATTTTAGTGGAACAATTCGGAACAAATGAAGTGCAAATTTTAGAATGGTTCCAATGTTTGGCGTTTGTGGTAAAGGGCATGATGTTACGATTGGCGTAAGCCTCCCGCCACCACATTAAAATTTTCATTAATTGTTTGTTATTATTCCTGCATATTTTCTTGAGCCCTCATTTCGCTAGATTCGAGGGCAGTGGGGAGTTTGATTATTTTATTGACAGGGCAATTAAATGAAATATGTAGTTCGTTTTTCGAAACCAACTGTTTTCTGTTAGACGGAAGTAAACACTTCTGGTTATTAGAGTTTGTGAACAAAACTTGAGGCTATCATTTAGTCTGAATTCAACTAATGTTAGTAAAGGAGTGGGGAGAGGTACGCCGGGGCTCAAGAAAACATGCGCGTATAATACAACTAAATATGCTGGTGGAACAATCCGGTACAAAACAGGCACAACCGATTTACAATATTTCCATTTTTTTTACGATGGTGCCAGTGTAAAGTTGGCTCCACCACAGTTGAAAGTTCTCCATCTTGTAAGTGGTTTTGGTACAACTGAATGTTATTGTGGAACAAGCAGGTACAAACAAATGGTAATGGTTTTTTGGTTTTCGTTGAGGTGGCGTTGCCAACTTCACGGACATGAACATTTTTAGACTTTTGAATTGTGAATGGCGAAGATGTTCCCAAATTCTCAACATATTCAGTATTCACTTGTGACCACTTTTTCAAATAATGTATATTCTTGCCAATTGCTACTAAATAAATTTAAAAACTAGCCTTAGTACACCTCAAATAATAACCTTTTTCATTTTCAAAGTAGAAATTCGCTATTGTCTTTGTTTCTAGGATGCTATTCATTCCTGGTTTCAGCGAATGGTAGGGTACTTGCGTTTTAAAATAATATTTTCGATGTTAAGCAGGGAACTCATTACTGATCTGTATCTTTTGCTGAATCCACGAAGTCTCAATTTTTGTATTTATATACATATCATTGCATCCATGTTTACCGTGGATCACCTTTCTCTTTGCTTTAAGTACAGCTGATCGAGACGATTTTGTTTTCTCTTGGAGAAGTCAGATGTTGCATTACGCACTACACGTGTTTGTGCATGCTCTATTCCCGGTCATGTCGGCATGCAGTAGGAGTGCGCCCAAGCACGTGTCAAACTAGAAAATTGGCTAAAGTGAAGTATTTTTCGTAACCGTAAAGTATACAGGTAACCTCGAAATGGCGGCGTCCGCATACAATTTCAAGAAAATTGCAACCGTTCCAACGGCGAAGGTATGTGTCTTGAATTTGTTATTTGTTGTGAATTACGTTTGGGATTGACATTCAAGTACTGAAGTAATTTTGCTTATGCTTTTAAATGTTTTGTGCGTGTTTCTTTTACAATTATGTTACCATTTTCTTAAGAGGATTGCCCTACAAACAGTGTTTTGCAATGTTGCGCAATGACATATTAGAAGATAAATTGTGGATAACCTAAATGTCATGACCATAAAGGTTACTCATTACAATTGTTTTCTTTTTCAGGATTTTATAGACATTACCTTGTCTAAAACCCAAAGGAAAACCCCTACTGTTGTACACAAACATTATCAAATTTCTCGTATTCGCCAATTTTATATGCGAAAAGTTAAATTTACGGAACAGAACTTCCACGAAAGATTGTCGAAAATTATTCAAGAATTTCCTAAATTAGATGTGAGTATTTTATTAAAACGTTTTAAGTTGTGGGAAGAGAAGGTTGGTATCTGTGAAAGTACTTTTCATAGTATGTTCTATCGGATATGTACAATGCATTCAGTGTAAATGAACCTATTGTGTAATCCTACAATATCTACTTTTCAGTGGATCAACTCAGGTTTAATGTTAATTGTTAGCAGTTTAGTTACCATAATATTTTCATGTGAAGGGAAGTGTCTTTTAGAATTTGCCAATTTCACCAATGGTGGTGCAATTGTAATTACCTCTGTTTATGGTGATCTATTTATGTCTATAATTTTATACAATGTATAACAGAGTTCTGACTGGTCTTGCTGTCTAATTAACTGTGTACTAACTTTATTACAATTTCATATTCGCCACTTCTAGTAAGTGTTCCTTAAGTGACCAATTCATTTTTCAACAGTCCTTATTTTCAGATGAGTTGTTTAAGTTACATCATTGCTGCTTGGTAATACTCCCAAATCGCCCAAATCCCAGTCACAGCTAGGTTAGGGCCTTTGGCCCTTGTGTTTGCTATAAACATGCTTGAGTTCATCAGTCGCATAGTTACCAATTCGCTTTTATAAGAAAGCACTTTTCAAGAAAGCCTCCAGAATTCAAATTGCACAGTTGCCGCCGGAGCAGTGTGAAGTGTCGGTTTAAACATCTTCTCTAAGTTGTACCGAATTCTAGATTAAAGTATTTTTAATTCTTTCATAAACGTCCTTCTCAATGAGTCTCGTGGCCTCAGAAATGTACTTTCGACTGCTCGGAAGATTCATTTTATGGGGCAGGATGTGTAACAATGATCTACTATCATCGACGCACTATAGACAAATCGAAGTATATAGTATGCTAATTGTGAACTCATTGTTGGCCTTTCTCGTAATTTGTACATACAGATCATCTGGGTCTTTAATCTTATTATACTGCTGAATGGGATTTGAGTTTGTTAAATATTAAAATGAATTGAGAAATGAGCAAAAAGGAACAGAAGTCAGGGGAGTATATAGGGTGAAACATTAGAAATATAAGGAAAGGACTATCGGAAATTCTACAAAAGAATGACATTCTTGGCTTATATTCTTTTGCTAGATAATCTATGCTTTAATAACATTACATCAAAAGATTAAGTTATTTTTTCTGAACAAAACAAAATAATGGAAAGTTGGAAATAATTTTTTCAAGGAGATAAACCATGGAAAAATGGGGGAATTCGATAGTAAGGGATATTGGGAGACGGAAATAGCAGAGGTAGCAGCAATACTAAGTAAATTAGTTAAAGATGATGAAAGCCACTGGAAATGACAATATAAACACTGAACTTGTACAAGAAGGTGGTGATCAGCTGCATAGAAGGATATGTAAATTGTTGAAAGCAATATGGAATAAAGAATTCATGCCAATTGATTGGAAAGCAGCTATGCTCTGGTCTATAAGAAAGATAAGTGTGCAGTAACTATAGGGGATTATCCTTACTTAATGACATAAAATATACTGAAGATTCTTTTGGTGAATATCAAAATGGGTTCAGAAGAAATAATCTATCATGGATAATATTTTGTTATGAAACAGGTATATGAAAAATGCTTTGAGCGTAACCTACATCTTCTCATTGTTCATCGACTTTAAGCAAGCCTTTAAAAAAATAATCTGATCCACTTTAGTTGAGACTCAAAAAATAAGAATATAAAATAGAAAGTTAATTAGATTAAGATAACCCCTACAGCATAAATCTGGTAAAATCAAAATAGAAAACTTATTGGAACCCTTTGAAATGTAAGAGGACCCACAATTGGCAAATACATTTAACCCAATGCTAGAAATCATTATTAGGAAATTGGACAGAGGCGATGTAACCTTTGGACTGCTCAGCTTATTGAATATGCAGATGAGTCATAATTAGGAGTGCCTGGAAAGCGCTGATAGAATTATTTAACCTATTGGTGCAAGAGATAGAAGTAGTAGGACCTACAGTAATGAACAAAAAAAATAAGTAGATTACCTTTCAGTGTAAAACAAATACAGGTAGTCAACTAAGAGTTTCAGAAGGTGAAAACTTCAGTTAAAATACTCACTATATTAAATGAAAAAATCAAATCTGAGTGGAAGTAATGAAAATATTAGAAAGGGACAGAAGGCATATTATTCTTATTTAAATCTGTTAAGATCAAAGCTAATGACAAGAGATAGAAATTATAAGTTCCTAATATGTCAGTATTCAAATTGCAATTGCTGTAGAAAGGTTTAATAAATGACTTAGTTTTGAGATACAATCCCTTCACCAACCTCATTGATTTTTGATTCTCTACTCTTTTTTTTTTTTTACTGTAGAAATTTGGTTAAAGTAGTCAGGTTGACTCTTCCAGAGGAGTGATTGGAGGGCGGATGAATCTCTCTCTTCAGGCATGTGGCTGTAAAATAATCTTCACCTTTTCTGCACTTGGATCTTTGAAATGCCTCCAAGAAGTTAGCTTGTCGTACCATACCCCACAAGTGGAATATCTGCTAAGTGGCAAATTTCGTACTCCCTTCTGACCAGCAATATTACTCCGTTTTATGCCAAATTACTTTCAGTCAGGTGCTTCGGTATGCGTTGCCAAGCTGAGGGTGAGACTTGGGCACAGAACATAACATAAAAAACACCCTTTAGTATGGGTAAAATGTAAATGCATTTTCTGCAAATATGCTTTTAGGAAATTTTCCCTTGCAAATTTGTTGATGGTAAACATGTATAATTTTTATTCTAAGGAAAGCTCTTACTTTGTCTTTTGCAATTACATTCCCATTAGTGTTTTTTTTGCTTTTCACCTAATACAAGCTCATTTAAAATTTCCATAATTTAATGCAATGTACATATAGAGGACCTGGCAAATCCTAACAGGCAAATACTTCCTCTCAATACTTCCTAACTTTCTTTCATGGATTTCTTTCTTCACCTGATTGTGAACTGTCAGATTAAACAACTTTAAAGTTGGGCTGGACTGTTCCTATTAACCAGAAGGGAGACAAAATAACATCCATGAACACAAGTGCAATATACTGCGATGAGGTGGAAAAATGGATCTTGTTGTGTTGAGTGAAATGGAAAAATTAAGTGTGATTTGCCCACCTACAGAGCTAATTTGTTGATTTTTTGACTTTCTATTTTATGCACAGATGCACACAAGCAAGATGTTTCCTAATGATAGACCTATTTTAATAATACAAAGCATAATTAAGTAATAGTGGCGTTACAAATAAAAATAGTGACAATATAAAGTTTATTTGAAGTGCTTATTGATGTAGCAAAGACTTTAGTTCCTTCTTCATAAATTTAAACAAAATCATTTACATTTGATGTCATTTTGTGAAGAATGTTAGCAATTAAAAACTTGTCTATTGAATCATTAATACAAGTCAGTTTATGTGAATGAGGTTCTCGCTGAGATACTTTACAATGAAAATTGACTATGACTATAGGGTCAAACAGTAATGTTTCTCAGAACTTTAAAAAAAAATGTATTTATAGGTTTATTAAATTATTATATATTTATAGGTTTTGTACAGAATTGTTATTTATGTGCGTTTTAATGTTTTTTTTATTTATTACAGGACATCCATCCATTTTATGCTGATTTGATGAATGTGTTGTATGATAAAGATCATTATAAAGTTGCATTGGGTCAATTAAATACTGCCAGACATTTGATTGATAAGTAAGTATTTAAGGTTAAGAAATATGTGAGAAGCCTAGAATCATAACTCGCAATATAAAATATATACAATATTTCTTTTTGGCAGTTCAACAAAACTCAGTAAATTGTATCTATTGACCCACCATAAAAAGTTTTAAGCATGCCTTTTAGTGTCCAGTAGCTCTAATGACATTTGACATTAAGCGTACTTGACTGTTAGCGTACTGGACGTACAGTACTTAGCGTACTGGCGAAGTTCGCGTACTGGACTGTTGTACCCAAGTTGGCGGGTTCAAACCCGATCGAAGCCGTGGATTTTTAAGGGCGAAAAAATCCTTCGTACGCCTTCCTTCGGAGGGGAAGTAAAGCCGGCTGTCCCATGTTCGTAGATTTACTTGCATGTAAAAGGTCCTCAAGCCTAAATGATGCCTCTGAGCTAAATTCAAATCGCCTGTTTCTCGCCCAAGAAATACCTCCTTTCTCTCCTAGTTGGTGAAAGGAGCGTAGCGAAATTTGCGTGGTCAGACGGAAGAGCGGGCCTTATGGCCCGGGTCTCGCTACGTAAAATAAGGCAAATTCAATTCAATTCAATTCAATTCAATTCAATTCTTAGCTAGTATATAATCTGCTGAAGGATAAATGTTAGATGTTTTTAGTTTGAACTCAGTGTTACAAATGTTTTAATTTTGAAGACCGTGGATATAGAAAGTTTTGTTATTAAGCACTCAGATTTTCAATATTTATTTCCTTTTATGAACAAAAAGAAAATTAGGTTTTTAAGTTTTGCATTTAAGCAAAGGAAAACGGAAATTGTGAGATGTAAAAAAGCAAAGAAACACTAACTTTTGCTCCTAAATGTTTTATTTACATTTTCGAAGTTTGAATGTAACACACTTTTGGTAAATATTTACACGTTTTAAAATGACATTGACAATATGTTAATTGGAAAATTACTTGATTGTGATATGACGTAAATATTAAAATCAGTGAAATTAGCAAAAAAATGCATTAGAAATGATGGGAAAAGGTAAAAAATTACTTAATATTCAAAATCTGTGAAAAATACAAAATCGCATAAAAATGGGTCATTTCCTTTTGACATAACATAAAATGAATGTCTGTACTAAAAGACATTGTTCTAAAGTGAAAGGAATGAAAAAATTATTAAAATTTGCCCCTACTAGTTAGCCTCTGTATCTAACTTAGAAATGGACCTTCATAGAATGAAGGGCTGACTTGCTATACAGTTTACAAATATGATCATACAATATGCCTCAGTTTGCAGTGTACCAAATTTTAAGACGAAACATATCTTAGACTAAAGATATTACAGAGTCATTTTTGGAATCAAAGACAGGCGGGTTAGGTGGTATAACGGTTAGCTTATCGGGCTGTTGTACCAAAGTTCGTGGGTTCAAACCTGATCAATGCTTTGGATTTCTAAGGGCAAAAAAATCCTCTTATGTTGTCCTTCGGAGGGGAAGTGAAGTTGTCTGCTCCATATTGTAGATTTACTACATGTAAAAGATCCTCTAGCCTAAATGAAGCCTCTGAGCTAAATTCAAATTGCCTGGTTCATTGTCCCATATAATACCTTCTTTCTCCGCTAGATGATGAAAAGAGCATAGTGAAATGTGCATGGTTAGATGGAAGAGTGGGCTTAATAGCCGGAGCCTTGCAACCTAAAAAATTAGGCATTAACTAACTAAATTAACTAACTGACTGAGGGAGACCTTCAGGGTGAAATGCTGTGTAAACTGCAATGAACATTGCAGAATGATGACCAAAACTTTAGCAACCATGTCTTGGATATTTTCACTGAAAAGAAAATAATGTTTCAACATGGAATGATTTTTAAGATACACAACCTTACTTAATTAAATTTACAATTTTGGTTCTTTTTGAAGTAAACAATTATTGATAACTGTCATTCATCTGACTGTCCTTAATGCATTTTATGTTGCTGAAAATTTGTGGAAGCATATAAAAAAAAGGAATGAAAAAATAATGCGTGTTTTAACAAGTTTTTATTTGAAGGAAAAAGCCAGGTTTCATCTCATGATTTTAAAAAGACAACATTTTTAGTTTTATTGCTTTTCTAATCTTTTGGGTACAATATTTTTATTCCATGACCTGTATTGTAATTGAAATATGTTGAATTTTTCAGTGTTGGCAAGGATTATCTGCGACTTCTGAAATTTGGTGATTCTTTATATCGATGCAAACAACTGAAGAAAGCAGCTCTTGGAAGGTGAGGGTTTATTTCTTTATATGAAGTAATATATTCTAGTACTTGGTATAGTGTTAATTATTTTGTTAGTTATAATATCAGGATTTCATGAAGTATCATTGAATGAGTTCTCTTGCTGCATAATAATGGGAAGACTGAAGGGAAAGGGAAAAGTGTGGTCATGTGATACCCTTCCTTTCTCTAAACTATGAATGCCTTTTAGAAAACTACCTTTATTTCACAGCAACTTTTGCCCAGTTTAAATATGCTTCAACGAAAAGGAATACACAACCCTGGGACAGATTTTGTGTGTCTTCTATCATTCCTCTGTACATCTAAAAATTTCATTGCAGTTTTAAACATTTTATGACTAAGCTTCTCAGCAACTTTCTGATTGGACCCTGCCCATTATGTTTCACTTCTTTTTTCTTATAACGTTTTGGCTGCTTACAGACTAGGCTGAAAATGTGAACTTAATTTTTACATTTGTTGTGGATGATATGGCAAAGTAACAAATCAGAAAACAAACTTTTTATTTATTACCATTCTTTAATTCATATTGCCTGTAAAGTACATTTTAATTTTATGTACAAAATGGACAAAATGTGTCTTTACTGGAATACTACTATAACTAAATAAGGATCGTTTCTGTAGTTAAACTGTTTGTTGAGATAGCGAGAGGAAGAAATACATTTTATTGTTTGTCCTCTATGAGGAATGATAGAAATCCAAAATGCAGGCAGTAAATTGTGTTTTAATGCTTCCAACTACTGGAAAATCAAATGTTTTTGAGTTGCATTACGTCTCTACATGGATACTCTTCCTGCTGCCAGTATAATATTCTGTTACCCTCCTTTCCTGGTCACTCGCCCAATGAATATTTCCTCAAGTTAGTAAATAATTTCTTTAAAAAAACTGTGCTATGTAGTACAGATTAGCCAGGCATTACAACAGACCATCTCTTAATGAGGCTTGTCAAAACTGTCTGGATATGGCAAAATCCTCTGCTAATAAAATTTGATGAAAAATTAAATTGTTGCCCTGGATTGTGTCTTAATAATAAAATAATTTGCAAACAGAATATATAATGACATATATTGCGCTTCTGTTTCCTTTGGGGTTGTGACACCTGGTAAAGACAAACCAGACATCTGAATTGAGCAGTTTAATTGTAACAATTTTCCCTTTGTATAGTAATGTGAGTAAAACACAGAAGTCATTTTTTATACAGATTTATTTACAATACTATACAATATTTACACTCCTCTGGAAACTACCGCTGCACTCCACACACACAGCACTGCAACTCCCTGAGGTGAGCTGCCCCAGTCTGACACAGCCCCAGCATTCTCAATCTTAGTGTCACCCCTGGTATCTATTCCCAGTGCGAACAGCTGCCCCTCGCAAGCCACCGCTTAAGATTCTCCACGGACAGGTCCTGCACCTCAAATGCCTGCAGTTCTGTTGCTTGCCTTTCTTGCGAGGAATCACGTGACCGACCTCCCAAACAGCTGACCCACAGACAGTCTCCTCATTAACGAGGTTTGGTCCCGCTTGCAAATAGGCCTGCCATCAGAGGCTGTCATCACACATCATCCCCCTTGCTAGCTGACACCTGTGTTCTGAGACCACGTTGTGATCTGCATCCTCAGCAAGGCTCCAGAGCTTTGGTGGCCTTCAGACATCCACCAGAAGACCACACCTGCTCTCTCGCTGGCCTCCTGACATGTGGGATCTGGCTTTTATTGATAGAAACAATGTTAAAAGTGATCTCCTGTCATTACTCATTTATAGTATCTAGTAGTTCTTGTGCGAATAATTTTCATGGATTTAAATATGTTTTTACATATTGAAATCCATTTCAGTCCCTGTAAGAATGGAAATGGAATGGTACTAGTTCTTTGGGGTACCTGTGGAGTTTGCTGGCTCAACAATTCATGGAGCCATCAGAATTCTTAGTTGACATACTAGAGCAAGTTTGCAAACTCCTTTTTTGTGCAACATGTTTCTATTATACATCTTTATTTGTAAAAAACTGTGAACTGACAAAAATTGTCAAAAATGACAGGAATAGTTAATTTTCAGCTTCCAAATGACCTCTCTAATCCATCCAGTCATTATTAGATTTCAGACCTGAATTTTACCATATAATATAAAGGTGATTTGGTGGTTAATCTTGTCAAATAATCACAAATTTAGTATTTACTGTCATTGATAGTGATGTTCAAAATTAATATAGAGAACAAGGTTTTTTTTGCATGAGAGAGTTAATGAGAATTTCAGGCTCTCAAGTTGAGAATATCGTTATGCTCTCTGAACAACCTTCTTGTGATTCTCTATTACAGGATTTCATTTTCTTATCAGACAATAGACACCTAAGAGTCTTGGTTCTGAAATTATTAATGTGCTTGTAAATTATTAAATTTGCTCTTTCTGAAGATTGCCCTAGTTGACTTACTCTTGTAGTTTACTAATCATTTTGTGTATACAGGTGAGGCATTTCAGAGGGAAAAATACACCCCCATTTTCCTGATGTTAGTAATAAATAAATCCTACCTTTTCTATCTTCCGAAGAAAAGATTTCTATGGAGAGTGCAATTTTCCAATATCATCGTAGGTTGTAGGTCAGAGGAACAGTGTGTGCCTTTATCAAGTGTTTAACAACTTGTAGATCGGGGAAGTGACTTGTAAACAGTGCAGTTCTGAAGGCCAATGGGTGAAGTCAGGCATGATGATAGGGTTGCATGGAATTCAGAGCTGTTATCGTGTGCACCTCAATTCCATCAATACACAAATTTCCAGTTTTCGTTGTTTGTATCTAGAAGAGTAGATTTTTTCTTCAGCAATACTTAGAAATATCCTCATCATTTGGATCACTTTAAGTACAACCTTCTGGAAGCAAGAGAAGAGAAATTTGTCATGAAACTGCTTTGCAATAACAAAATGTTCCTCAACAATGATGTAAGAAACATTTATTCATATAGGAGAAGAGAGTAGCATGTTTTTTTCTTTTCCTTTTCTTTTTTCTCCCACTGGAATGACTTTACTTGCCTGTAAAATTATGATGATCATATGTTTGATAAATATTACTGAATTATTAAGATAAATTAATGTATTTTTATGAAATGTAATTTGAATAACAGTGACAATTTAAATGAAGACAGGATGAATTGTTACTTCAAAGTTGCCGTAGTTGTTCCAAAGAATATGTAAACTTATTTGTGACCTAAAATATCTTTTAGTTGTCTTATAATATCCCAAAGCCTAACCAGATATTAAGCTGAGTCTGTGTGGCATAAATGGGAATGTCTTAGTGTTAAATTTTAAGCGATTTGCAAGTTGATGCAATTTCTTTAGCCACTTGCTAAAATAATTTTTCAACAACTTTATATTTTTGGTAAATATTTACAGAATGCAATGATGATCAGAAATTAAATTTTTTAGGGGGCATTTTATTGCTCAATCATGCAGGATCATTGTCGGTACTATTTGCGAAAGTTGAATATTGGTTGTGCTTACATTAGCTTTAAATGGTATTTTTAAAGACTATTGTTTTACAGTGCAGATATAGAAATATTTTTGTGTTCTTGTAAATAGTGAAATTTAAATTGTATGAGACATGAAAATTCAATGGCATATTAAGTAGGCATAGCAGATATTGAGGAATCCAACCTGTATAGTGAAAGATAATTGAACAGTCTGGTACCTCAAGTGAATGTTCGTGAGCCTATTAATCTTGAAGCTAATGATTATAATAGTTGTTCTTTTTAATTCTATGAAAGAATAAGAAACAACACACAAGTTAATCAGTTGGTATCTTGCATAATAAATAGAAGATAATTTCTTAAAACAAGCTGTAATTGAGTGTGCAATACAGCTTTTCATAAGGATTTAATGTATATGTTAATCTTACCATTGAAAAAAACAAACAAACTTGTTTCTCATGTTTAAAAAAAATGTTATTCCATTTGTTCTTTAGGATGGCTACTATTATGAAAAGACAAGCAAGCAATCTTCAGTACTTGGAACAGGTGCGTCAGCATTTATCCAGATTGCCTACAATTGATCCTTACACTAGGACGTTGTTGATTTGCGGCTTTCCTAATGTTGGCAAATCTTCATTCATCAATAAGGTTTGTAATGTCATATTTCATATTAATGTATTTGTGAATGGAGCAGTCATATTTTAGTTTGTAATGTGTGAAACTCTTTAACAAACACGTGCCTGCTACGTTTGCTATTTAAAACTTATTTTTATGTTTGAAAAATTTTAAAGACTTTTAAATAGGAAATGATGTACACAATTTCTTTGTTTTAATGATATGCTTTTTAATAGGTCACCAGGGCTGATGTGGAAGTTCAGCCGTACGCTTTCACCACAAAATCACTTTATGTTGGTCATTGTGATTATAAATACCTCCGGTGGCAAATCATAGACACTCCTGGCTTGCTAGATCATCCCTTGGAAAACAGGAATGTCATAGAAATGCAAGCTATTACCGCATTGGCTCATTTGCGTGCCGCTGTACTTTATATCTTCGATTTGTCTGAGCAATGTGGCAATTCTATTGAAAATCAGGTATTCTTGTCTTTATCTTCTGATTGGAAGTACCTTACTTACCCAAATATACGATTATAATGAGTAGCCTGAAAATATCAAACTACAGAATTATTTTGTCTTGATTAATTAATACCAAAAGTTAGACTGCCTCATTATTGATATGAATTAATGAAGAAAAGAAGTACTGTTATTGTTACAAATAAACCTGTCACAGTATGTAAAGTCAGACTCAAGGTCATTTTGAAAAGTGTAAAATAGAAGCAGCTCAGATGAAAACCTTGAGGGACACGTGCAGGCTTCTGGATCCCATCAGCTAATGAAACTGAAAATTGAATATACTGTTGATGATATGATAGATAAGATTTCAACCATCTGAAAAGGATCCAAGCATATTAAAAGCATTCAATTTCCTAAGAAAGAATGCCATGATTCACTGAGTTTGTGTTTAGTTGATGGTGATCGAAGTGAACAGTGGAAACTCTCTGATATTTGGCGATTGTGGGCTGTACTCCTTTGATGTGTATGACCTTGCTTTGAATTTGTACATCAAAATAATATTTTTAATGATCTCGCATGCTTTTAAACAGATGTGTATCAGGTATTAAAATATTATTTTTCTTGTTATTGGTACAAACTAAATCCCTAATCCCTAAAACTGCATCAATTGTACTCAGAGAAGCATGGTTTGAAGAACGATGCTATACTTAGATTTTTATCGTAGCGTCACAAGGTCATACACAAAAAAGGAAGGGGATGGCAGACTCCAATAGGGAACTGTAAAAGTAGGAGTTGTAATGACGTTGCTGCTTCCTATTGCAGTCTGTGTTCATATCCCTTGTTTTGTGTGTGACCTTGAGAGAGTCCATGTTAAATTGAAGTTAAGGCTGTTTTACTGCAAGTCAAAATAATTGTCAACTTGCCTGGATTATGTACACAGTTGATGTTAAGTGACAAAAACGATTATAGGGAAGAAGTACTGTATATGCCTGAATATATCATGCATATTTTTTTCAAAAATTATTCTAAAATTTATACTTTAAATAGCTTTTTCTTTAGAACTCGTAAAATTATAAATAATCAAAATGTAGATATATTAGACGTTAGTATGAGTGAGTTGATAACATGTTTGAGATCATCACTTCTTCAAAATCCATAAATAATTGTATACTTGTAATATATTTACTTTTTTTAGATTTATTCACTTTGTTATATTTGTAAAATATTTTTGTTATAAATTATTGTATTCTTCCATTACGATATATTTTTAAATTGGACATATTAATGTCCGTACATTAAATAAAATAAATAAAAATTGGGGTGCAAATTACATTCGAGTCAGTGTTGGTACCACGAACTTGAAGCGTGTTGCACGTTGTCACATAGCGTCATGGGTTATAGTTTGGTTTTATAAGTTAGCACGTCAGAGCCTGACTTCTCGATGGAATATCTCACCGTATTTTGCGTCTTTCTCGATCATACTGGTACATGTCGCACGATTGCAACCATATCCACGAGAAAGACGTGAAATGCCTGACATAATGCCACTGTGGAGACAGTCCTTGAGGTGCTGTTTTATAAGAGTCTCACTCTAACCAGTGTTAATCAGCGGGTCATATGAGGGCAGAAATTCTTGCAGTAAAAGTGAAAAAATGTGAAGACAAATATTTTTTTCCTGATTCCTTACTGGAAAATTAGGGTGTGGGTGATATTCGAGGGCAGGTTATATTAGAGTACATACTGTAAATGTAGATAGCTCAAAAAGTTTCAGCTTTTTATCAAAAGATATTTTTAGGAATGAAGATAGTTGTAAGTGACTTATCAATTACGTAAAAATGAAAAATTTCTCAGGAGGCCTCTTTAAAATTAATATAAATATATATAAATATATATAAATATTAATATAAATATAAAATTAATAAGTTGGTCTTTCAATGTAATGTTAGAGGAATTTAAACATCTTAATTTTGTATGTTTCTGGTTTGTTTGTTCAGGATATTTGTTTGTATTTTGGTAGTTAAAGACATTTGAACAGTATTTTTGAATCATAGGGTTTTATTTTCATGGATTTCATTCATTTAAATTAACTTCAATTCTAGTTATATTTCCTGAAAGTAGCTATCATTCTGTGTACAAAAAGCAAGTATTGCTAAGTATATAAAAACGCTACCTGCTGGAGGTTGAAAACAGATCTGTAAGCAGGTGTGGAATATAATTATGAATAAAATAACTTAACACAATTGTGCAATGATTTCAAAAAAACCAGTGATGCAGTGTTTGCTGCGGAGTGCATTTTGAAAAGCTTATTCTACCATATATCATACAAATATGCCCCTCTTAAATATCTAAGATGTTTTAATCTACGTAAAGAACAAAACTACTGAGGTGCCATGCCTTGCAGCTTGACTGCTGTCTTTCCTGCATCACTAACTTCCATGAACCTGCTATTCATATTACGTCAATTTTCATACTTTTATGTACTGTTATTTATTCACCTAATACCAACAAGCATTACTGAATTTTTCTTAAGTCCAGGGTATTTAGTTTATATCTGCTTAACATGTATGTGGGGAAACTCATAATTTTCAATTTATGGAGATGATACATGAGAAGTTAACCTGAAAAGATTTTGTTAACATCCATAAACAGAAAAATTTATTTTTAATGTTGTAATTATTCTTTTTTACAGGTAAACTTATATCAGAGTATCAAGCCATTGTTTGCTAATAAGGTAAGATTTCTGATATATTTTGTTCAAAACATTAATATTTAATAGGAACATCCTTACACCTTCTAGTGTGAATTGGTTGCATTTCTGCATTGTGCTAGTTTGAGTGTTAATGTTAATTTTATTTATCTATCTTAAATGGTTTTACTCTCCTTGCATAGATATAACAGACGTACTGACATGTGAATAAAATATCAAAAGTAAGACTTAAACTATTTACAATGTTTACACAAATTATTCTAAACATTTCCCATTAAACAAAATGCACAATGTTCACAAAATATTGTTAATATTTTGTGTAACAAAATAACATTCCAATCCATTTTCAAATTTCTGAAACGAATTCCTTCATATAAGGAAGAATTTGAGAGAAAGGTTTAACAAACATCTCTATTACCTACTCATTACATCAATAGCACATTATTGATTGTGGACTATTTACTAAATATGCTGTAAAGTTAATAAAGGACAAAGATGATTACAAACAACAGTAAAAATCAATAACATTTTGGGTAATAGAATAAGTTTCATCTCAGTATAAATGTGTGTTCAACAAATGAGTCGCATAAATTAATTTTTGGTGCTACATTCCTAAAAAGTGTATGCTGAATTATCTTAATCACAGTACAATAAATATTGTGTGGAGATCATACAACAGTAGCAAAGTTGGAGATCGGTCTCATTAGTGATGAATATAGAGATTTCAGTGGTCAAGGTATGTTAAATTCTGAACAGGTTTTCTTCAATAATCATAGGATTTGGTTGACTGAACTATTAAATCAATGTGCTCTTTAAATGACAAATTTTAATAGACTTGGAGATGGATATTAGATCATTTCATGTGGATGTTTCATGAAAGTTTTAGAGCATAAGTATATACTTTGCATTTGATGGGTTTTATTGCAAGCTGATTATTCAAACATATCAACAACTGATTGTAGACGTTGATAATAACCTAATTTTACAGTTGTCATATAAATTTTACTGTAGTTGCAAATAACATGTACTCAATTCCCATTTCGCCTGAAAACAAATCCCCATTTTTCACAAGTTAATTCGTTTTTAACCTGAAACTAGTAAACATTGTAAATGGGAACCTGTTATATCCAAAATATGGTTTTTAAATTAACAAAATTATAAATGATGGAATCGGAAGCTTAACTGAAATCAATACAGTTAAACCTCTCTTACACTTTTTATGGGCCCGATGAAAAAACGATGTAAAATGCAGGGATGTGTAAAATACGGGAAACTTGATAAACGATAGGCTAGGCTAGTACTTTCATTATTTACTGCGTTGGTGGCTGTTTTTGCTTTCTCACCTCCTTTGTAAGACTAGAAAGTAAAATTGTGCCAGAACTGGTGAATTTCTTCAAAAAACCTCTTATTGACGGGTCTTAGTAATGAAAAAGTCTATAAATTATATTCCTACATACAGTAAATTACTTCCTTTAACATGAGAATGTAAAAATATTAAAAAGAATAAATGACAAAAGATGGGAAGCACTCCTCATATCAGTTGTATATTGCGGGAAGAGAATGCTCTGTAAATATAGTCTTTATGGCTGGACCACCGAAACATTACATAAATGGCAGGAAAACGAACAATGCGGGAACGTGAAAATGGGATTTTACTGTATATGCTGTCAACTTATTATTTGTTTAGGAATGTATAAAATGCGAAGTCAGTAAAATAAACTGGATTGTTCTCTAGTGATCTGTCCATGATAAATCTTACCTGCCTATCTTGTATAAAAAGCACAAAGCGATTTTCTAATAGTATCTCAAACAAGGGAGTCGAAAAGTATTAGGATGGTATAGGTTATAGATTTCAGCCGAATTTGGAATGTCAGTTCTATCATAAGATTTATGGATAGGAATAGGGATGATTTTCATTCCATTGGCAAAAGTATCTCCTTAATGGATTTTTGAAATAAGAATCTTAGTATATGTGATAAAAGAAATGTAAAACATTTTTGTATAGATTGAGAACCAGGATTTAAGAAATATCCAAAGTAGCAATGTAATTTTTGACATCTGAGTGAAGCACAGCGAGTGTCCTAGTTAAATGGAGTTTGATCCTATTATTGAACTTTATAATTTGTGTTAGTTTGAAAATGTGAAGTTGGGTAATACATAGCAAAAGCATGTACAATTGACGGATTACCCATAAACAACTGACTCTTTATGAATCATCCCAGGTTTATGGGAAAATTAGCTGGTTTAAATATTTCATTGTAAATTTATATATTGCAACTTCCTTAGTTTTCTAATGAAATTTAGACCTTTAGAACAGACTGACCTATGTTTCAATTTTCTTAGTGCCTCCTGCTAAGAAACATAAGGTGCCTCCTTCCAATTTTGCCACAATTCAGTTACTTTGTTTGGATTGCAGAAATAAAAGTTGCATTCTTTTTTCTTCTTTACAGAAATGTGTTTTATAGAAATGAACTCTTGGGAGTGGATAGAAATGATTGTTCTTTTTCCACATAAATTTTTGTCTAGCATATGCATTTACAAAATTTGTGACTGTTAATAATACGCTAGTGAATATGTCTATTGAGTATTGGAGGGAGCAGACTAGTCTGAACTATAAAATCAGTTTGTAACATTATTTCCACCAAACTATATTAAAAAAATAAAAATCTTAAGTTTTACTTCTTTTAAAACTAAATTGAAGGGTTTTCATCTCTTTTGGAACAAATTATAAAATCAGTGATGCTCTTGGAAATTCTTTCTTGAACACCCAGCTCTGAACACTGTGATAATATAATTATTGCTTTTTCAAATTTTAGACCTGTGAACTCCAGAAACCAGAATACATAAAATTTAAAATATGTATTCATTTCTTTAATTTCACTCTCATTCCTTAGTATTCCTTATACCTTTTTATTTTTGATGGTTTTATATTATTAATACTTTGTATTTCTTGGGGGTTCTACGATGTTAAATTTGTGCAATATACTTAGTTTTTAATTTATTTTAATTATTAATTTATGATTTTCTTTTATGTGCAGCCTCTGTTACTTGTATTGAACAAATGTGATGTAAGAAGATTGGAGGATCTACCGGAGGAAAAGCAAACTCTACTCAAAGAACTTTCTTCAGATGAGATTCCAATGATGGAGATGAGTACAGTGACTGAGGAAGGTGTTGTAGAAGTGAGAAATGAGGTAACATTTTTCACTAAATATCTTTCATTGCATTTAACACTTCAATAATAGAAAGAGCCGCTTCTTTTTTCAAAACCATGACAGGAAGGAGAATAGAGAAATGCTTCCTCGACTGTTACTTTTTTATTTGTTAAAAATATATTCAAATTGTTTTTACCTTATTGCTCCATTGGTATTCCAAATCCTGCTCTATTCACTTTTTAAAATGCTCCATCCTTTTCTACACACTTGTTAAATGTGGCTTCTCAGGCAAACTCATAAAAGAATTATGTTGATAGTTGCTGATGGCATCAGGATTGATTGACAGCTTTCACCTCATTTCCAGACTGAAAGTGGCTTTCTGTAAACATCTTTAATCTTTGGGAACAGACCGAAGTTGCAAGATGTAGGGGGGTTTCAGAGCTGTACTGCAGGTCTATTTCACTCAGGGCCTCTTGTCTTCACAGCATTGACATATACAGTGCTACTCATATTTTACATATTTTTCTTGTGACTGGCAGAGAAAGTTGCAAGATGTACTGAATTATTTTGTTTCGAAATGCTGGTCAATTTAAACTAGCCATGCCGTAACAGCACATGCTTTCTTCAAATCTTTGTAACTTAGTTTTGAAATTTTAGAGTTTGACAAAAATGCAGACCTGTGTTGTTTTTTAGACATACTTTTCTCTATCCAAAGGAAAAATTGAAAGCAAAACTTTTGAGTTGTTTTTGATGAAAATGTTTTATAAATTATCTTTACTTAAAATTGTGAAAAATATTGGTATTTTCAAAGAATTATTGTTTAAAGATCTATTTTTTTTTAAACTGATCACATTCAGGAACACCCCTGACCTGAATATTGCACATTTGCAATGTTAAGTGCACACATGCAACCAGTTTTAAACATACTTTATTCAAGAAAAAAATATTTTTTGATCAGTATTTGAGAAAGTAATTTTTTTTAAACTGACTATATTTAATGTAAAACTGCAGAAAACTCATTATTTTTAATACATTATAGTAATGTACTGAATAATTTAGAACTTCTGAATTTTCAAAAATTCAGAGTTCAGCAAAAATGACTCTGCTCTGTCTAAAAATTTGGAGTTCAGCAAAAATGACTCTGCTCTGTCTGACTCTTTTTTAAAGCATTCTTCTATATGAGGAAAAAATTCAATACAAAAAAATTGAGCTCGGTTTCAAGAACATTTTGAAAATGTGATTGAGGCTTCATGTAAAGTACCCCCAAATAACCAAAATCTATTTCAAGCGCGCAGAGCAAGATCAATCTGGAAGAAATTCTCCAATTGGAAAGAATCGCCCCCTAAAAAAAAAATCTGTTAATCTGATACCTTTTTCACCCAGTACAAAATTATCATAGCCTTAATGTTTTTGCTGCTTTAGACTGTACAGGTTTGTTTTCTATGTCATTGTGTGACACCAATTCGTTCACATGTTAAATTGCTGAAGATATTTTTGCACTGTATATAGTCTTCTAAGAGTAATCTTTTCCTCCATATTATGCTTTTGCCCTTATCATCCACTTGAAACTTTTTCTACTTAAAAAAGAGATACTAGAACTTCCAGAATGTGGCCCACAGGACAGGAAGGTAATTTTGTCCACAATCACATAATCTTGAAAGTTACAGTTACTTCTTACGATTGCCAGTATTCCTTTTCATTTGGTGTTAAAATTGAAAGATAAATAGTTTCCATTTTACTGGCATTTGGAAAAGTAATTTTGAATTCTCATACTGGATTCTTTCCTTCAAGTTTTTCCGACAAAATGTAATGCTTGGATAGTGATAAACTACAATCATGAAGCTTCTTTCAGTCTATCATTGATACCTCTTTTCTTACTACCAGTTTTCAATAGTGACACATGAGAACATGGATAGTCATATTCCATTTCCAATATCTGAAGTTCACTTATTACACTGGTGGCAAAATATCACTTTCACATTTCTATCCCCATTTGTTTCATTCTAATGAGCTGCACTGTCCAATAAACAGTTTTCGAATTCTTGTCCATCTGCCTATCCAGTTGCATCCAAGCCCAGCTGTTGGGCCTTATATTTAGTTAGAAAAGTTTTAACATTTTTAAAACCTTTTGTGTTTTCAAACATCCAATAACAAAAGGAGGCAATTTTTCACTTTCATCAGCACTATATGCTAGAAGCACAGTCATTTAGATTTAGTACCATAGCATGGATCCCCTTTAAAAGTCATGGCTTTGTTCAACAGGAGTTTTGAATGAATGACAGTCCTGTTTTGTCAATATTGAAAATACGAATTCTGTAGCCCTCTGTGAGCTGATTAATTTGGTATTTTCAGACAGAAATGGGGTTTGGATTCAAACTTAATTCTCCAGAAACGACTGAGTATTGTTAGTGTTGCCTGCAATTATTGATTGTTTGATCAATGAATTCCATTTTCTAAGCATGATATTTTGTTCTTTGGTTGGTTAATTTATTCTCTTCATTCTCTTTCTGTCTCAAGTTATAGATAATAAACAAAACATAAATGTGATTAGTATGCTCTAAAAAGACACCCCCGCTCAAAAAATTGTTAGTTTTAAGCTCAGTAATAAATTTTGGACACCACTTTTGTATAATTATTTGCCTCCAGTTGACGAAAATCAACCTAATTTCAATTTCTAACTCTCCCAGATTTACTTTGTGAAGAGCTTGTTTGGAAAGACTCGTACATATTCTAAGGCATTCGAGTATAGCAAAAGAAAAACAGGCAAAATACTAAAAAAAAAACTGGGCCTTGTTGAGTTCAGTGGGTGCATATGAAGTGTTATAATACCCTTCATTCAGTTTTGCTCTGCTCGATTGGTTAAGATGCATAGAATAAATATAAAATAATCAATTCACAAATAATTATGCTTATTGAACCTAGTTTTATTTTTAATTGTAGTCTTGTAATTGTGATTTTTTTTTTGTCCAATTATCACTGTACTTACAATGAAATTCTTGATTATATAGGCCTGTGAGAAGTTGCTATCTTTTCGTATAACTCAAAAGGTTCGGGCGAAGAAGGTTGATTCAATTTTGAACCGCCTTCATGTTGCAGTGCCAAAGAAGAGAGATCAAAAGGAAAGGCCACCGTGCATTCCGGGTATGTTATTTTCTGTAACGATTTGTCTTATGTTAAATATATATATACTTGTCAGATACTGAGAAAAGGTAATTCTACATCCAGTAATTGAGTAACCTGCATGTTTCCATCCGTCGCTACTTATTAGACCTTTCCCAGCCCAACTTTTGTGGCAAACGGGTGTTGTTTGTAGGAGTGTCATGGTCTGTTGGTGGGAAATTGGCCTTTCACTCCGAACATGCATCGCAGTGATGCATCTTCCTCATTCTGCATTTCTGGGCAGCATTGGATGAAAGGAGCTTAAGCATACTTCTCTATACTACATATTCCATATCCTTGAAACAGCTAGCATCTGGCCCAGAGTTGCACTATGCACTTAGTTTTGCCTATGGAGAGTGCTTTAAACTGATAACCTGATCTCTCTCTCTCTAGACATGTTATTGTGTTATCATTACAAAAATAGTTTAATCATTGTATTAATGTGCTGCCCATGTATGTTTCAGAGAAGGCTCTCCAGCAGAAAATGGCTACAGATAGTCTGAAAAGGAAACTGGAGAAACACCTGGAGGAGGAGCTCGGAGATGATTATATACTTGATTTGCGCAAAAATTATGACTTGCCTGGGGATTACAAATATGATATAATTCCAGAGATCTGGGAAGGCCACAATATAGCTGACTATATTGATCCTGAAATCTTGGAGGTTTGTGTTTTGTTAATTTCCTCTATATGAATGAATTTATTTATTAATGTATTAATTAATTATTTATATTATAAATATATACACAAAAATATGATGCATATATCTATCTATCTATCTATCTATATATATATATATATATATATATATATATGGAAATACCTAATGTAAGAAAAGTCCAAGATGAATGTAGATGGACATAGATGTACAAAATATATTAAAATACATAACACAAGAAATTACCAAGGAAAATGAAAGTGGTACATAGGTATAAATATAAATACAAAACAGGCACTTGAAAACACTTGACACAAGAAAAAATATTTAAGTAATTGTAAGTAATGAAGTCTCAGAAGTGAATTTGGTTAAGGATCTGGTTCATGCTGTATTCCAATAAGTTTTGACAGTAAGGCTGTTCTGTCCACAATACTGATGTTTTTGCCCTAGAAGTTGTACAATCATTTCAGAGTAGGTGATAGAGAGCTGGTACTGTTTCCAGGAATTAGTAGCGTAGAGCTACATTGTTCATCCCGGTATCATTACTGTGGTACTCAGTACTGAACACTCACACTCTAGAATGTATTTTCAATTGCCTTTTAAAGGAGAAAACATTTTCATATTCCTAAAAGAATTTGGGAAGGCATACCAGGGATTTTCTATTATGTTCATCAAAAAGTTTCCTTAGATTCTTGTTGTTTTTTCTTTGGTTATCTTCCAGATTTAAACAGTGGATAAGATTTTATTAAAGTTAAAGACAGACATATTGCCAATTGTAATAAAATAATAGTAGGATGTGTACGGAGGTGTTTATTTTTTAAATATATGATGGTAGATAGAAATTGTATACTCGAATTCTGACTGAGATATTGTCTTCCTATTTGATTGTCCTCATGAAGTATGTTGGAACATTGATTTGATGGAGGGTGTTATGAATGTCACCCCACCTTGCTGAGTTAAAGGCATTTTCAATGTTCAATATTCCCATAATTAATGTTAATTCATAAGTAGTTTTTTGGACCTCTCTTCAATCTGCTCCCTCCAGTAAGAAGTGCCTTACAAGAAGCTGATCAGTGTCAACTGAATGAGCCTTGCAGAAGCCATGCTGGTTCTCAGTTTTCCTTTTTGTCCTGTGTCTTCCAATGTGATGCTTATGATATGGTAGGGAACCTTTTCAACTTTGTGTGTATACAGCAGCCAGTAAGACAACCGATCTCCCAGAGGTTTTTTCCATTTCCTTACTGTGGATGTAGGGGTCTGTGTGTGAGTGTGTGTGTGTGTGCGCGTGTGCGTGTGGGTGTGCGTGTGTGTACATGGCAGAGGTTAGTTTCAGTTATGTCCATATGTGGCTAATTCATGAAAATTTCTTGTTTTGGTGAGTGGTAAAGAGGGCTTCTCTGTCTCAGAAGTGTGAAAACTGTAGTTTTAATATTTCATTTCCTACATTAATTTTAAATTTGTCTAGTAATTTATAATATAACCTACTAATTAATCAAAATATATTGTAAACTAGTTTATCATGCTTGTGTGCATTTGTATCTTGAATTAGTAAAGTTAGTTTCAATTTGTTTTGAACTTGTGTGATTCAGAATGGATCATATTTTTATTTAATGTAGTCAATTATTTTTATTCAGTCCATGCAAACCGTAAATAATGTTATATCTTTGTATGTTGTAGAAACTGGAAGCACTTGAAAGAGAAGAAGCCTTACGTGAGGAGACTGGCATGTATGCTGTTCCCAAGATTGAAGTGGATGATAATCTCAGAGAGATTCGAAAATTGGCAGCCCTAATTCGTTCTAAGAAGGCCATACTTCAAGACGAGGCTAGAGTCCGTAAAGCCTCTACAAAACCAGTCATGCCTCGAACTACGGCTCCACGAGCACGTTCTCGTTCAGTGTCGCGTCTGAAGAAGGAGATGACAGACCTCGGTGTCGACATGTCAGGCACAGAAGAGGTAGGTTGGCTTGTACAGTCAAATATGTGCATGTAGCTTTGCCCTTATTGCATACCATGTATTATGTTTTTTTTATTGTCGAAGAACTGTAACTTGCATTATGTCAAATGCTATATCATTTGCAGTGTGTTTCTAGTTGTTAGTAGAAAACCTGTTTTGATGGGTAATGGAAACAGACTGACAATATTTCAAGAAAATTTCACCTTCTAAAAAATATTAACAATTTAAAGGGTGTAAAATGTATAATTACCGAAAATGTCATGAATTACATTATTAAAAATTAGTTCTGATTTGGTTCCATTCAATAAAAAAATGTATGATGGTTTCAATGTCACACAAAAAGCATGTATTTAAATGCGAACAATGAGCGATTGTTTTGAATAAGGTATTCAGCCTCTCCACTCGGTACCCCTAGATTTAAAATTCGTGATTAACTTATTCGAAAGTAACTTATTTTTGCACACTTCACATTATCAACTACAATTTTAAAAAATTTAATTCATTTTAATTTAACAATTTAATCAATAAATTTGATAATAAAGTGTGTAAAGGAATAAATAAAAAGGAAGTTATGAAGTTAAATTTCTTTTAGAAAGTGATCGTTAATATCTTATTTGTTCATCATGCCCGTATTCATTTGTGAAATTTCATTATTGAAAGGATGGAAGCTGATATTAGATTCTGTGAACTTTTATGTTCATAGTTAATACATATAATTTCAAAGAAACCTCGCTTGCAAATTGGAAGGGATGATGGTTTGTGAAATGGTAGGTGTACTAGGGAGCTAGTACTCTGGGTGCACAAGTTCTGAGTCATAAACAGGCTCTTGCAAAAGACTTTTTCATCCTTTTGTAAATTTCAAGAGAAAATGTTCAGAATTTATTGTGAAATCACCTTTTGCACAGTTTTCAGCATCAATTTTTGAATGGCATTTTAAAAACTGCACCCTTAAATTTTATGACTGAAATATATATATTTAGTTGCTTTCAGTATATAGAGTCCAGAAACTTTCTTGAAATTATAATGTTTTCTGGATTGTGTGTGTTTAGTATAAAAAAGTTCTAATAAAAATTTATTTTATTAATTGTTTTGTAAGTTTTTATGATTCAATTGAAAATTAAGAGGTAATTAAATCTAGTTCACATGGCTTAACTAATTATGGTTGCTAAACTATCAAAATTGCAAGTGTTATCAATTTAATTTTACATAATTTGTCAACATAAATTAATCAAGGTTTTAATGCGGATCATATTTTTAATTGTTTTGTGTTCAAAACCTACCAGCAAAATTAATTTTTACTCAGTGTAATTTTTGCAATTACCCATGGTTTGAAATGTTTGTATATGTTTGTATTTGTTTGTTGTACAGGCACATTTCATGAAGACACGTGCCCGTTCAAGATCAAAATCAGTATCGGAAACTCCTGCAAAACGTGCTCGTATGAGTTCCGAAGGTCCATCTGGAATACGTTCCTTGTCACGATCTATGTCCCGACCTCCACGAAATGAAATGGGAGTAAAGGATATTCAGGTAAGATATAATGTGTGCTTGATAACATTGTCTTTGATATCCTTATCAATTCTTCTGATGAATTACATTTCATTTATGGGAAATTTAGATCTCATATTGATAAATTTAGATCTCAGGATTTGATCAAATGAACTAAAAAAATTAATCATAGATTGCTGACATTTCGGAATATTTTTATTCCATCCTCAGAGCTGAAGGTAAAATAAAAAAAATAAATAAAAAATAAAAAAAAAACAAAAAACAATAATACTACAGATATACAAATGGCAATTACAACATAATATCAATAGCATATTATAAATTGATGACGAATCTTTGCTGTAGAATGTCTTTGTGAATAATTATCTGGTTTAGTTTGTTACTAATTGTCATGGTATGGTTACATAATACCTTCTGAATGCCTTGTGTATCAAAAATAAATAAACATTAAATAAAACATAATTGACTGGATGTACTTACAAAACCTTCATACTATATAATAAGCCTCATTTTTCCACTTGTGCTTCATGTAATTAATTTATATTCTATACCAGGTTATAATTAATACCAAAAAGAATTGGATGTAAAGTATCAGTACTTCCTCAGTTTTGAGTATGTTTCCTTGTTATTAATGAATTAATTATACGCTTGCTTGACTGGATGCACATGTTTTGAGTGACTACAGCATAAGGTCCTGATTGTGCAACTGAATCACAGTAGAATTTTCTTTCACCTGCTATAATGCCTTGACCTGAGATGGACGTGGGCAGCATAGACTGTTGCACTCCATGTGGAGTTGTTGAACTCTTCACGCTATGTTTTTGAGAGGTTGTAACCATATGTATATATCTTGTAGTAAGGTCAGTACATTTTGTGATAATTATGTATTGTATGCTCATACTGTATTTGCCATTTGTGTATCTAAGTGTTCTTCTATTTTTATTTTACCACAAGCCCTGAGGACGGAATAAAAACATTCTGAAAGGTCAACAAAGATGTTTTAATGTCTTAATTTACTACGACCAAATCCTGTGAACTAAATTTCCCATTTCTACTTCATGGTCTTGAATCTACAATGGTTACATTTTATTTAGTTAGAAACACATTGCTTGCCAAGTACTAGCTATTACAGCTTTGATGAACTGGAGCCAGATGTGCTAGAGTTAATGGTTCCGGTTGTGTGTTGTTTTGAGTGAATGTAGACAGGATTTGAACCAGTGAAGAACTTCATAGACTTCAGGTTTTGTACTACTGCCATTTATTGCCATGCTAGTTTGGACCATCACTCTTCACATGCAGTTGTTGTCACTGTTGCCAGTAGGTAGAGAAACAAAGATTTCTGAAAGAAATGTAGCAAGCCAATAAAAATTGTCAGGTATTTGAAATGTATTTGGCATGAAGAGGAGGTGGGAGGATTTGGGGCATAGTGGCTAGTGAATTCACCTTCCAACATGGACTCAACTTTAATAAAAAAATAAAATAAGTGATTTACTATGTGTGCGTACATACCACTTTATGTGATGTTGTATTATCATGTTTTCTGTATGTGTGTATTGTTACTGCACATACTTCAATTGTTGATTTCCTTTCATGTTCATTTCATTTAGATATTTTTTACATCATTTTGTCTGACTCATATTACTGTTGATTGATAATGTGTATTTTTGTTGTAAAAGTTGGGGCGATGATGATGATGATGATGATGATGATGACAAAAAGTAGCAGTATCTTTGGAATAGTAGTACTTTAATCATAATCTAATAGTTTATTTTTTATACATTTATTTAACATCAAAAACAAATATAAAAACTGCTCTGTTGCTATGGGGAAAGTGCAATCTGTGAATGCCTTCTTGAGCTCTGAGATCTTGGGATCAGAGGGCATGAAAAGAAATTGTCAAAAAATAATGTTCCTGATAAGTTTCTTCTGTTGTATCTTCGAATTTAAATTCATTGATTTTGTTGTGATAGCTCAGAGTTGTACAAATTTTATATATTGAAACCCAAATCTGTTTCCGTCATTTGATAATTGTCAGAGAAGCAGGAGCTGGAAATTGAAGGCTAAAAGATACTAATAATCTGTTGTTCAACAAAACTTTCGAATTTGGTTTCTACTACAGTAACAGGGGACCAGCAGGGTACAGTAACAGGGGAACAATAATTAGGGGACCAGCAAGTATTGTGGTATTGGACTATAAATTAATGATTTACCATAATATTAAAGAGGAGAAAGTGTGATTGCAGAATCTCTTTGATATGTTCACAGATGAAGGAGAAACTTGCCAAGATCGCTCATAAAGCAATTAAAAAGAAGGTAGTCAAGAAAGGCCTCAAAGGAGAAGCTGATAGATTCATTGGTAATAAGATGCCTAAACATTTGTTTAGTGGCAAGAGAGGTATGGGCAAGACAGACAGACGTTAATTACATGTATGAAAATTATAAAATAAATAATTTTTATGTTGAGAGTTGCAAACTTTGGCCAATAAATAATTATTGATATTTATATGCAGTATCTTTTAATGTGCCCTGACAATCCTGTATATTCTACCCAAGGATGCAAAATGTTTCTCCCAGGGTAAAATTGATGAAGAAAAGGACCGTATATATTGCGATGTTTTGCAATGTTGAACATTTGATTAGCATAGAATGATTAAACGTAGCAATTTTTATGTTTGCACGAGGTCAATTTTGTAAGTACCAGACTATACCAGTAGTACAGAAAGCTACCGCAGTGCAGCGGAATTGTCACTTGGCTTCCTTAGATTGTGTTATTTAATATTAAGAAAATGACGAAATGTAGTGAAAATATTCAATTATTTTTTTAATTATCATATTGTGATTACATTTTCTTTTTGAAGCCACTTGATAGCTTTTGCGTATTTTGTGTGACAAAAGTTAAATAACAATGGTGCGGATGAATGCCTGTAGATGGCAGGTCAGGCGGCGTGGCTTCAGCCGATATGGTGCGAGGTAGTGCGGTTTAAACTGAAATCACAGAATTGTACTTCTGTGCGAGTGAATCTTTTGAGTATCGTGGGTAAATTTAATTTTTAAGTGCGCTGTAGTTGCGTCAAAGTGTTGGTTAACGTTCCGCTTGCGTGAAGGCCGTAATATCAATGTTCTTTACGAATCGTACTGTTTCGCGGTTCTTCTCCCTTGGGAAGCCATGTTGCTACTCTAGACTGGGAGAAGCCGCTCAGAAACCCCGTGTGCGACAAACATTTACTAGCGTTAATGACATCTCGTGGCGAATGTTATAAATGAAGGTAAGTGCGATTCTCATTCAATGTTTTGCTCTTGAAGTACTATGCAGCTAATGTTGACCTTTATATAAATAAACTTCATTCCTGCGTTCTCCATAACAGTGTTTATATTCGAGTAACACTCTTACTGTTATCACGGTAATTTTGTACAGTGTTAATGCCGGTGAAGGCATGATTACCGAGTTTGAGGCCTTCTACCGGGACGTGTTTTATTTTTCGGCGGTTGTTGGGTTTGTGTCATGACACTCCCTCTCGCACGTGCGACAAGCGGCGGCGCGGTGAGACTTTCGAACGCGCGTCTGCGAGGTGCTGTTCAACGAATGAGGGATGAGCCGCGCGCGCGTCCGCCCGCTCGCCGCACGCCGGAGCCGAGGGTCGCGCGTTTATTTTGAGGCGATGGTAGCGACGAGGACGCTCGCCCGTCCTGGGAAGGGACCATCGGTCGCGCCGCGCGCTTTTTGTTCGAAACGGGAGGCGAGCGAGAGCCCGTGCTCGGTCTTTTGTTTTCCTTTCAAGGACGCGGCGGCGTCTCGGACGATCGATGCGGCGAGCGAGCGCGCACCTGCGGCCAGGTGGCTGCCGGGGACGGGCGCTAGCGAGCGCCGGGCCTTTTGGCGGGAAACCGGCGGCGCGGTGCGGGGGCGGACGGTTCGCGTGACGTCAGGGGCGCGTATCGAGCGCGCGCGCGCCCCGCGTCCAATCGAAACGCGCGATCGCACCCCGCGGCGCCGCCCGACCGTCCCGCCGCCGCCGCCGCCGTTGCTACCACCGCCGCCTCCGCTCCCGCGCCGTCACCCTCGGCCCCGCTCCCGCCCTCGTCACCGCCCTCGCTGCTGCGATCCATACGGCGGCGGCCGCCCTCGAGCCCCGGCGGTGGCGCCCGACGATCGATGGCGTCCGTCGCGACTTTTCTCTCCTTCCCTCGCGCCACTCGGCGTATTTGCTCCTGGGCGCCAGAGACGCCGGGCTGTGCACGGCCTCGTGGAACGCATGGCTTTTGCCGACCCATGGGATAGCGCGGAAGGGGCAAGTGTCAAAGACGTACCGCCCTCCGCACACCAGTTGATGCAATGCACCCTACAATTTCGGTTCTAGTGAACCTCTTCGAAGTTCTTTTAACTAAATCAGACATGCGGAATCGTGGCGTTGTTTACGAACTTTATTTTGCTCATCCCGTCATGACAGCAACAGCTTTCTCCACATTTCCTCATTTTCCGTCCAATAATATCTAGGTCACTAAGCTGAAGAGCAGTAGCAACCTTGTGCCTGAAGGGTCGCGGGTTCTAATCCCGTCCGGGCATGGAATCGACTTGTATGTGTGTGTCCGTATACTATTAGTTATCCCCAATGACATATACAGTGGTCACTATATGACCTTAGTAGTTGAAAAGCTACCCTTAAAAAGTAAATGATAATAATTAATAATATTTTTAAATAGTAATATCAAGATTATCGGAAATTTTTTTAAGTTGCAACCAATCGAATGAATTCGTTCTCTTTGTCTTCGTTGCAAACTGCCTTACTGACATCATTTTAGAAAAATATCTTAATTTTAAAAGTATTCCCTGTGTGCACATGAACGTGCCTTGCGAAAATTCTCGAAATTGTCTCATTGATTCAATTTCATTTCCGTAAACTAAACGTACCATTTGCCCATATGGATGTTCAAACTGGTTTCCTATTCTTGAATTCCCGTAGTCACGGTCTTTTTTGTTGGTATGACGCCGGCAGTTGTTTTGTGAAGTGTACTACGTGCACAGAACCCAAACATGCGCATCACCCCGATCAACTGTCTCTTGCATCTGTATTAAAATAGCTTTTTATTAATCTGTGTTAATTGGTTAATTCGTTCTTCAGTCGTACGTAATCACGTTTAAAGCTTTATACGAGAAAGATACGTCAGTTGGTAGCTGGGAAAACTTAACGGAAATTTCGTTTATGAATGGGCTGAAGTTGTTAACAGCTTTGATCCATTCCCAACATCCTTTAACGACGACGTTCCTTGTTCTGCACCTTGTGGTCCTTCGCGCTAACTTACTACGTCCATCGTCAAGGCTGCGAGACGGAATCTAAGTGGTTTCTTTGTGCGGGCGGTTCGAGTTCGCGTGCGCTTGCCCAGACGGTTCGAAGAGGGGCCCCCATGCGTTCGGAGTCGCCCCGCCCCCACCAGCGGGCCCTTCCACGCCGCTGCGCGCCGGCCGCCCACCTCCCGCGCGGTGCCTTCTCGAGGGATGGCCATCCCCACTACCAATATTTATGTTTGTAATGAAAGCGCGGGTCAGTGCGATAGCGGTCTAAGACACGTTTTAAGACAACTGAGAAAATCGGGTTGAAGTTTCGTAGTGTGGTAAGAAAAAGTTGTGAAGAGAAAAAAAATGACTTCATTCTGAACATTATAGAGGAAAAATGGTCAAACCAACATTGTACAAAGATCACCTTCTTAGGTAACTAATGGTGTCTATAACTCATTTTTCATTTGGGGTGCGTGGGTTAGACCACTATTGCGCTCAGTCCTTCAATTTTATTCGATTTATTCAAAAGATTGCTTCACATTCCAAATTAGCATTTGCATAATGAATTCACTTTAATAAATGCAAGCTAATAATTAAAAATGTTTTTGAGGACAGTCCAAACTAAAATTGCTCTCACCCCCATGAAATACTTTGTGGATCATCCTGTTTCTCACAGTCACAGGGACCAGGGAAGGATCTTGGCGGTGAGGAGGGCTATTTTCTGAAATTTGATCGGCGGTGCGTAGCTCAGAGCCAGCATTGAGGCTGTCTGCAGCGAGTCTGACCGTGAGATCTTGGAGTTATATTCCTATCCGTGATAGATTTTCGACACAATCTCCATAGCTAAATCTATTTCAGCTTCTGTGTGGATGAAAACTAGCAGCTGGCTGCTCTGATCAGTTGTTTTTTGTGGTTTCCCCGATCATTTCCAAGCGAACGTCGGAGAAGTGCCGTAACAAACGAGCCATAGATCGAGGTTGAGCTTGCCTTCCTCTTCCCTGTCCTACCGTAGCCCCTTTCTTAAACACACTTCGATATATGCACTACACTGCAACATATGTCGAGTTTGTCCCGGCTGGGGCGGTGCCCCGCTGAGGTAAGATTCCTGGAAGGGGAATTCCCCCATAAGCGGATGTGAAGATCACCGTCTAGCTGGGGAAGAAAACTGCCACCTCTAGGCATAATAACAGCAGTTGATGTGGCAACTGCTAATAACTATAGCAGTTGTGGCCGGAATCAAAATATTGAAGGACTCGAACCAAGGACGACGCATGGTGTTGGGGTGAGACCTCTCGCCTTCCACCGCCGGAACTAGGGTTCAAATCCCGCTCGATCCATGCACAATTTGCAACTGCCTAGGTATGATGTTCACTCCCTCCGCTAGATGTTGGTCTAATTAATATATATCTTAGCTTTCTGGTTGGGAAAACCGTGAGATCTCGTTAGGACGGGAAATTGCTGGAGGGATTTAATTTTGCTGAGCACCTGCCAGCGTCCTTTTACTTGCCACAAGCATGACAGCCACTGTGGTATTTTCCGCCCTTCGAAAAATCCTGCGCCTGAGCCGGGCTTGAACCCGCTCGAGGGGGGGGGGGATTTAGAGGTGTGCACATCATCCACTTGCCCACCGTGGCGCCATTTGTCCATGTCAAATCGTCATGGTCACCCAACCTTCTAATTATCTATACCAGGATTGTCCAACTGGCGGCCCACGGGGCTATTTATTGTGGCCCGCGAATGGTTTAGTCAAACGCACTCTTCCTGCCAGGGTGGACACACCCTCAATGTAAAATATGTAAAAGTTTAGATTTAGAAATTGTTTTCTTGTATATGCAAAAATTCAAAATCATCCCAATGTGTTTCATTACGTTATGCATTGTACGCCTAATATCATGCATGGTTCCATCCCATCACCGTTTCAAAGCAGTGGGACAAATTTGCTGAGATCAACGATACTGAAAGTCAAGTGTAGATCGCCCGAATTATGAAAATATGGCCCTCAATTTCATTAAAGGTCTTTATTGTGACCTTCCAGTTATGATCATAAGTAAAGTCCGAAAAAAATAAAAAGTTAAAAACGACCAAATATGTGTATAAATATGTAATAAAAATTTAATATGTAACATACGTAAAAAGGAATGTAATATATATCAAAATATACTCTTATTTATATAACATTTACAGAAATAAACTGAAAGTATTTGAAATTACGTTAATAAAATAACTGTTAAAACTATTTTAAATATGAATATATCTTAGCCTTCTGTATTTAATTTTTTAAGAGTACATATTACGTTTTTCCTACGGAGTAGAGAGAAAGATATGTGATACTGGGGGGGGGGAAACTCTTGTTACAGAGCCCTGGTCCAGTTGCTAAATTTAGAAAAAAAATCATATGCCGACGTGGTGTAGCCAGAATCCGTTTTATGGGTCCTTGATACCGAAGAATCGAATGACGGCAAAACGTCTGTCCGTCCGTCCATCTGCGAACAATGCTAGCGGCTAAACCGATCTGTTGATTTTCTTCAAAATTAATATTCCCCTATCGATCTGGCTGATGTCTCGGCCCCTTGAATTTGAATCCGAAATTTTGATTGGAGGGCGGGAACTATACATGAAGTCCTTTTCAAAATTTTCAAAAAAAGTCTCCATTGTTTTTTACTAAAGTTTGTTGTTGGATAATGTGAAGGACGTTTAAGAGATGGGTGCAGGTCTCATGTTAGTTGAAAACCCTGATTTTTCGAAAATTGAAAAATTAAATAAAATTCTGGAGTCTTCCTGCAACTGAAATATTAAAGAAATAATTTTTCCCTCAATGAAATTGTTTTTTAAAGATAGATTTTGAAATAAGATCATGAACAATTTTTCAAAAAAATTGAGTATTTTTCGCGTAATTTTGCGTGAAAATACGGGGGAGAAAGAACGTGCTGTTTTAGCACCACTAGTTTAATTTTCTAGAGTAATGATAGCCATCGTACAAAAGTGGGAATC